TTATTTTTTTCTACTTGTTTTAGAATATAATGAGATATAGATTTTATATACATTATATATATATATAAAATCTTAAATAATTATAAAATTGCAACTGTAACCAGTACCGTGAAAAAGAGGTACTTAGTGCTAATATATACATACCGGGTTATGAACAAGATTCTTTCCTGTGTCTTTAAGTCGAATTTGTAGGTAAATTGGAACAGCCACATACAGTTCTTATTTAGCCTTACTTTAGCACAGTGGTTAAATGTTTGGCTGCTAACCAAGAGGACGGCAGTTTGAATCCACCAGACGCTCCTTGGAAACCCTATGGGACAGTTCTACTCTGTCCTGTAGGGTCGCTATGAATCGGAATCAATTCGACGGCATCGGGTTTGGTTTTTGTTTTTTTAGTGCAGAAAAGGCTTGAAGGCATTTTAATGATTTAAAAGCTGCATGTACAGCAAGTGAAGGTGATTGTAATGAAGAATTTGTTGCTAGTAGGGATTGATTCAGTTATTTCTAAGTGAGGGCAAATTTACATAACATCATTAACAACCTGAGATATGCAGGTGAAACAACCTTGCTTGCTGAAAGTGAGGAGGACTTAAAACAGTTACTGATGAAGATCAAAGACTACAGCCTTCAGTATAGATTACAGCTTAACATAAAGAAAACAAAAATCCTCACAACTGGACAATAAGCATGATAAAAATCAGAAAAGATTGAAGTTGTCAAGGATTTCATTTTACTTGGATCTATAATCAACGCCCATGGAAGTAGTAGTCAAGAAATCCAACGTCATATTGCATTGGGCAAATCTGCTGCAAAAGACCTTTTTAAAGTGTTAAAAAGCAAAGATGTCACTTTAAGGACTAAAGTGCATCTGACATAAACCATGGTGTTTTCAATCGCCTCACATGCATATGAAAGCTGGACAGTGAATAAAGAAGACCAAAGAAGAATTGATGCCTTGAATTATGGTGTTGGCTAAGAATACTGAATATACCATGGACTGCCAAAACAACGAACAAATCTGTCTTGGAAGAAATACAGCCAGAATACTCATTAGAAGCAAGGGTGGCCAGACTTCATCTCATACTTTCGACATGCTATCATGAGGACATGGAGAAGGACATCATGCTTGGTAAAGTAGAGGGTCAATAAAGAAGACGAAGACCCTCAATGAGTTGGATTGACACAGTGGCTGCAACAGTGGTCGTCAAGCATAACAAGAATTGTGAGGATGGCGCAGGATCAGGCAGTGTTTTGTTCTGATGTACATAGGGTCGGTAGGAGTTGGAAGCAACTTGAGGGCACCTAACAACAACAGCTCATCTCGTTGTTTGTTACTGCCAGATGTACATTGGCTAATTTTCTGTATGTTTCCTATTTCTTTTTTTTTCTTTTAATATACATGTATAGTTTTTAATATTGTAATGTGTGTACACTAGAAAAATATTGGACAGTATTGAGAGGATACACTGTGAAAATTAAATCTCCCTCCTATATCGGGCCCTCATTTCCTAATCTTACTTGGCAGAGGCAGTTTCTCTTACCAGTTAAGTATGCATTCTGTACATGTATTCTGTGAATATGGGATCATATACATACATATACAGCTCCATCTTTTCTTTTCATCTAACTGGGAGCCTGTACCTTTGACTTTTCACATAACTTTGTGATGGTTTCGTATCAGCAGATATATTGTTTTAATGACTTTAGTATTGCATCGCATGGAGGTACCACAGTTTATTAACCAGGTTGTTTCTAGTCTTTTGTCACTATATACTGTAACAGTGAATATTTTTGTATCTTCTGGTCATATGTTAATTTTACATTTAGGATAAATTCCTAGGAGTGAGAATTTTAATGGTAAGACCAAATTTAAATTTAAAGAGATTTACCAATTTTAACAGTATAGGACAATTAAT